TTAACCCTAAACCTAACCCTAAACCTAACTTTAAACCTAACCCTAAACCTAACCCTAAACCTAACTTTAAACCTAACCCTAAACCTAACCCTAAACCTATCCCCGAACCTAACCCTTACCTTAACTGAAATTGCGCTTTTGTGGGTGCGGTTTTGTCGGCGCGTTGTTGTGGGCGCGTTTATGACGTTGCGGTTTTCTCACTGCGGTTTCATCGGCGCGCTTTTGTCATGCGCGCATTTGTCGGGTCACGGGAGCAAACAAGACCTCCTCTTGGTCTACTAGCCTGTTCCCCAGAGAGTTCAAACTCTGGGGGTCTCACAGTAGAAGATGGGAGACACGCTGATGATCTCCTGCAGCTGACATTTTTTGGAAGCAAGCTCTCCCCGGCCGTGGCGGCCGAGCCTTCAAGACGAATGGCCTTTGACAGGCCTGCCTTACCCTCCGTTCCTCTGGGCCCCCTCCGAGATCCCTTTCCAAGTTACTAGATCCAACCTGATCCCCTCTCCAACCTCAAAAGGCACAATTATCCCGAGGAATTGTGTTGTCCGGAAGCACCCCAATTGTAGAGAGTGTGTTAGGGGAGGACAAAATGTGTGCATGAGAGCGAGAGAAGGCAAACGACACAGAAATTGGGAATAAAGTGGAAATGATCCTGGCTGGGAAGAGGAGTGCTCAGATTCCTACGGTGTTTTTCCTAGACTGGCCCAGATTCCCTGGGGCAGCTGCTTGGTTAGAATCCCTGAATTTATCTCTTTCCTTGAATGAGATTTTGTCCGCAAGACTTTGAAGTGGCTCAAATGGGCCCTTATCTTCTGGCCTTCAGGAAGCTCCCGAGATGCCCCCACAGCTCAGGCTTCCTTCCAGACACCTCCCAATCTCTCGCATTTTTTTCCCCCTTGAGGGTTAGATTACTTTTTTTGGTATTCCTTCGGCGCCTGCCTCTCGGGTTTTATCAGGGCTGGAACTGCTAAGAAGCCCGAATCGCAAACAGCCTCCCCTCTCCTCCAGGTCCTGGGGTTGTCACAAGGCAGCGTGAGCGACATGTTGTCCAGGCCCAAACCGTGGAGCAAACTCACCCAGAAGGGACGGGAACCGTTTATCCGGATGCAGCTTTGGCTCTGCGACCAGCTGGGCCAAAACATCAGCCAGCAGGCGGGCCTGCCTCAAGGTAGGCACCTCCGCCCTTCGCCCCGGCTCCGTATTTATTCTGGGAAGCCAAAGCAACCTTAGTCACCTCTGCCCATTGTTCCTCTGCAGGGCCTTTTAGCTATTTAAGTCAGTTAAGATGTTACAACGATGCCTCCGGCCGAGGCTTCCCAAGAGCAGGAAGCAAACTCCTGGTCCCGACAAAACCCCCTTTTATTAATTGGCTTTTATTCCCTCTGGGAAGGGCCGTTCATTGTCCACCTGTGGCCTCACTCCCAAGTCGACCCTTGTTCCTTAGCTGTTCCCTTTGTCTGGCAACTACGTGCGTGTGCATGCTGGGAACAGGCTCCAGCTGTTCCTCTGCTTCACTGATGTCTGACTCCGAAGGTAGCTGATAACTGTCAGATGTCCCTGGCCCCCTCTCTGCCTCCAACACAGAGCCCTCCTCAGAGCCTTCCCCAGACTCCAGGACTGGCCCAGATTCCTCCCCAACCCTCCTCACTGTCTGAATCTGCTGCCAGCTCTGTTTGGCCACTGGTGGGCCACAACACAAGGACTCTGGAGGTCTTCTCCAGTCCTGGAGCCAATTCTCCTTGTTGCCTGCAACCTCTTGGAAAATAATCGTTCGTATTTGACCTCATCAGCTCCTCCCTCCTTTCCTTCTTTTTTCCATTCACAGCCAGCCCTGGAGAGTCTCAGTCTTCTCCTTCCCCGCCAGCCAGCCCTTCTGAGCAAGAGAAAAGCCCCCCGGAGTCCCTCAGCCTTGCCCTGGAAAGCAGCAAAGAGAACCAGCAGCCGGAAAGCAAAGCCGGCCCCTTGCTGACTGGCAAAATGTGCCCCAACCACCAAAACTCCCTCGGCATTCAGGAGATCGTGGCCATGTCCCCCGAGCTGGACACCTACAGCATCACTAAGAAGGTCAAGGAGGTCTTAACTGACAACAACCTTGGTATGAAGCAGCGCTGAAATCCAGCAGATTCTGACAGGTTCTGGAGAACCGGTAGTGGAAATTTTGAGTAGTTTGGAGAACCAGTAGCAGAATTTTTGAGTAGTTCGGAGAACTGGTAGTGGAAATTTGGAGTAGTTTGGAGAACCGGTAGCAGAAATTTTGAGTAGTTCGGAGAACCGGTAGCAGAATTTTTGAGTAGTTCAGAGAACTGGATAGCGGAAATTTGGAGTAGTTCGGAGAACCGGTAGCAGAAATTTTGAGTAGTTCAGAGAACTAGTAGTGGAAATTTTGAGTAGTTCGGAGAACTGGTAGCAGAAATTTTGAGTAGTTCAGAGAACTGGTAGCGGAAATTTTGAGTAGTCTGGAGAACCAGTAGCAGACTTTTTGAGTAGTTCGGAGAACCGGTAGTGGAAATTTTGAGTAGTTCAGAGAACCGGTAGTGGAAATTTTGAGTAGTTCAGAGAACCG